CAACATCCGAATCATACTACAATCCGGGACCTCGAACTAAGAGCTCGCCAAGGCCGTTTAGGACGTCAAAGAGCACATCATGCATTTTCAAATTGCAACTTTGGAGCTTTATAACTCGAAAAGTACTCAATGAAGAAACATTTCATTATAGTGTTTTGGAAAGCTCTCGAGGTCAGCTACAAGAATATATAATAAAAAATAGAGGATGCCATTAAAAAAAATTGAGGTGACCTTCATGTGACTTTCAAATAATTCTTCAAGGTCAAACTAATGGTACCGTCTTATGGTCCCCTCGAAACCAAACAACTTTTGTCTGAAAAATTTTTCTCTCCCGGGCTTGGTTTTCGAAATATTCGACTGGATGGATTAAAATGGTCCACCCTGTATATAGAACCACATAAATAGTTAAGGTACTGAAGTCTTCGTTTGTAATTTTAGGCGTCGGCGGAACGATGACGCACAAGTTGCGCGAGATGAACGTGCGTACATGCGAAGAATTGCAGAGGATCTCGTTGGGAGTCCTGCAGAAGGAGTTTGGCAGGAAAATGGGCGGGCAGTTGTACAAGATGTGTCGCGGTCTGGGCGACACGAAGTTGAATCTGGAACACGTGAGGAAATCGGTATCGGCCGAGGTGAATTACGGTATAAGATTCCGAGACAATGAGGACGCTGTCGACTTCTTAAGCAAGTTGTCGACGGAGGTGTGCGGCCGATTGACAGCGGCTCGTGCGAAGGGCAGATGCATCACGTTAAAACTCATGATCAGGGCGGAGGAAGCGCCGCAAGAAACCACCAAGTTCATGGGCCATGGCTTTTGCAATTGTATCACCAAGTCCAAGAATCTTATAGCTCCCGTTGACGACGTCGGCATCGTCAGAAAGTAAGCTGCTCTGTTCATTCATCACATGTTCATGCGAGTTTCCTAATGTTGTTAGAAAGTGATTGGAATTTCCAGAGAAAGAGCGTGTGTGTGTGCGCGCTCATGCGTGCGTGAGAAAATATACTTCCACGTAGAAAATTCCGAGCTAATCTTTGTTTTCGTCCATTTTTAAGCAAGTTTATAATGTCGTCACAGTGAAGCAAACGAAATGGCAATAAAAACACAACGCAAGAAAAATTTCGCTACTGCGGTCCGACTATTTCAAAGCGTTTCTCCTTTTTTCCTCCCTTTATTCGGATCCAAAAGATAGATGAAGAAGGAGAAACATTTTTAATATTTGCTGCATTCTATTTGTTCATTTTGTCGTTCTAAATTGTGTCGTTACTGTCAACGCGGAGTTCTTTTGGCTTGACATGACAGAATATTCTTTGGAACGTTCTGAGACGAAAGTTCTCAAGTACAAAAATTTCGAGATACAAGCGATCGAAGAAAGGAGAATTTTGGCAAACTAAACTTCGAACGGGTAATAAAAAATTATTTTTTCCGATCAATTTTAAACAGACTCTATTTCTATAGAAGTTTACTTTAAATTTTAGTCACAAAGATACGTTGAAGATTGAAAAGTCGCTATAAATAAGGTCCATCTCTCTCGACGTATTTGAACTTCCGTCTTAGAATATCCCAAAGGATCTGTCATGTAATTAATAATAATATTATACGTTGATTCTGGGTACATAATCATTTTTTCAAGCCTGTTAATCTATTGTACGTTATCTTTGAGTTTTCGCATAACACACGTTTCATAATGCAGGAAAGTGATTAGCATTTGGAATCAACTGCATCTAACGCCTGAAGACATGCGAGGAATCGGAATACAGATATCCAGACTGGAGATATGCAAGACCAAGCAAGGGAGTCTGAAAAATTTCTTCGATAAGAATATATCGGGAGATAACGGTAAGAAGAGAAGTCAACGCGACTCGAACCTCAGCGAGATATCCAAAGCGAATAGCCCGTCGTCGACCGCAGAATCGTCTGATCCGTCGGCACGAACTTTCGAGCAGACAGCGGCTTTATTTCAAGCACCGACGATCGAGGCGAAAAAGAAAGCGAGTGAAAATAGCACGACTGGAAGGAAAAATCTGAAATCGGGCAAGAAAACTGTGGGGAAACAAACGTCTCAGGAGAATTTCTTCAAGCACACGAAGCCAAGCGGCGGAAAATCATCCAAGTACGAGATGCCGCCGCGAATCCAAGACCTCGATATGTCCGTGTTGATCGAATTGCCTCGAGATATACGAAATGAAATACTCGACGAGTACAAAAAGAACAAGGAACGAAACGCTGAGAAAAACACGACGGATGAGAACGCATCGCAAGTGGACCCGAATGTTCTGTCGGCGTTAATGGCCAGTGACTTGCACCCCGACGTACGGCGCGACGTGCGGATATATTGCAACATGAAAAGAGAAGCGAACAACTTCGACCGAGGGAATGCGAGACACATTGTAGACGATATGAATGAAAAAGAAACTGGGATCTCGCGAATGTGGGATGCGACGCCACACGGCAGTACCGACGAAGCGGCGATACGTACTGAAACGAGTCGTCGGATTGAGATTCCACGCAATAACGCTCTAGTGGATAAAGCCGATACCTTTATTTTACAGAATTTAAGTATTTTACATAACAGTGAGAACGTAGACAAACATCAGGAAATGCTGATCAATCTTGTGAACCATCTCTTTGATCTCCCGTTACAACAGGTAATGCATAATCATTCGTTAGGACAAAAAGTGTCGAATAGGAACTGAGCTTTTGCGTTCTATGCTTGAGATCCGGTGCGCGCATGCGCACACACATACACACATACACACGCACACACATACAAATTCCCGTCCAATGCTGAACAATAATGTTGTACAAAACTATCTCTTTATAGCGCGCTAATAATACAAACTGTGTTTACCTGTTACAATTTGCCGTAATATTTATATAAGTATCAGGTGTATATATATATATATATATATCCCCCCCGTTTTACGTCTTTTTACCAGACGCGTTATCTCTCTCGTAAAAGATGGGTCAATTTTGGTTTTCGAAAGGTGATGTTTTTCATCTGCAAATGCTCAGATTCACTGTGGCGAAGTACGTTTCGATCCTTCGATACTTTTAGCATCGGCGGATATTTAAATACCGAAAATAAAATGTAGCGAACAAAATCACGGAAGATACGTAATAATAAAGCGTGTCAGTGATATCCCAAGAGAATTATTAACAATTACACGATCTCGTGTTTTCATATATTTCACTCGTTTTTACTGTACACTCGAAAATGGGTCGCTTTTCAAACCTAGAACTATGGTTCGTAAACAAACCTCTTCTTCATATCTAGATATATCGTCGAGATATTAGTAAGAAATATGATTAAAACTTTTCCTATATATTGAACCGAAGAGAACAAAAAGATTAATACTTGAAATTCTGCTTTCAAAACGCATCTTCTTCAGTATAAGACCAAATGAAAATTCCTCCACTTTTTATAAGTAAACATCGCGTTTAGAATTCTCAACGAAGAACCAGTCTCGCTTGATTATGTATAAACTTGACGTCGATTAATACGTACGTGAATAAAAATTACACTGAAAAGTTAAAATATATATTACATCGTGTAACGTTCCTTTAGCTATCCAAGCTAAACGTGACTTTCCGTAGGTAAAGATACAGATACAAACGTGGGTCACCAAGTCTAATGCCGTGAATGAAGTGGACTTTCTGTCACTTGCAACGTTTCTTAGCATGCTTCCGCAGAAGAAACGTATCGCGGACTTGCATATCTTGTTGAAAACCATGCACAGGTAATCGCGCGTTAATAACGGATTCACGACGTCATAACAGATGGATAATAAGAATACTGCAGATTTTTAAGGAATAAACATCGCTTTACTCGCTCATGAACGATAAATAAAAAATATTCGGCACATGATACACATTAACTTACTTATATGTCCGCCTGTTTTGTAGATGTACAACGAAAACTGGGAACTGCATTTGGCATAGGACATACAGAAGAACGGTGAGACACGTTCAACGTTATATGCAGATCGAGTACAACAGTAATCTAATGGTACCGTCAATCGGATGTAACGATTCAAAATGTAATAACGGCGATTGAATACAAAATTTCAAATTTTAATAAATTAACACACTTTTTCTTCGTTTCTTCCTTTTTTACAATGTGTAAGTCTGAGTGTGTAATTAAGAAACCTATTTACAAGCAAACACGATACTTACCTTGAAATTTCAATCAAATGTCATTCTTTCTAGAGAAGCCTGTTAATACACGACTTGTTAATGCATGTCTTTGAAAAAGTTTGCTCAAAGGTCATATATAAATTAGTAAGAAGTCTCCAACCTCGAATTCGTGTGTTGTTTCGTAATATATATATACACACACGTATATATATGTGTGTTATACATATATATATATATACACACACATATATATGTATATATATTTGAAATATATATATTTTGCTTTGTAGTCGCGCAGGGATGGTGAAAAAATAGAAAGGAGCGAGATAAGCGTTCATTACTCCCATTCGGTGGTCCCCGGAGGTTTAGACGTCAAGTCGTACAAAACGCGTGAGATTCCGGGCACCGTGGATATCTCAGTTACCACTTTCTTCACCACCTGCGAGAGAGGAAAGATTATTGCTGTGTGAAATAATTGTGTGTGATAACTAACAATGAAATAAATCGTAAATAAACAGCTAAATAATGGTCTATGCATTTGTAAAAACCAACTCACATGTATTGGTAAATCCTTCCCAGGGATGGCGGGTGTCCCAGTCATGAAATCATTAGTACAGAATGGCCTAAGCACAATGGAACGTTGACATGACAGCGTTCGACATGCCGCGTCGCGGTCAAAGTGTACGGGAATTAAAACAACCGGCATCTGGCTGATGGCGTCCATACAACCGTTCGCGGCAAACACTTGATTGGCTAAGTGGTCTGCCTGCCGCAGAGTCGCTATCACGTTCGAAGTGAGATACGTAGGCGTGATGTCCTGGATTGGATGATGGAGCTGCGGCCCGAAGATGTAACACACGCGATTCACGTTGTGACACACACGCGGAATCAGCTTCGCGAGGAACAACATGTCCTCCCAATCCACCCCTTCGGATACAATCTCCTCGCACGATAGACCTACCACATAGCTGTAGCTTCTTCGGTCGCCCTGTCAATTCAGAGAGATTTTTCTCAAATTCGCTCAGTGTGGCTCCCCGTGGTTTTTCGTTTACCTGAACTCCTACGCTGCGAATAGGCAAGAGAGTCGCCGCGATATGACGATGACTGGAGACTCTGCGGAGATGTTGACGCTCGACCTCGCTGGTAGCACCTTCCACGCGATTCAGTAAGGCGTGTTTCTTCTGCAGCATCTGTTCGTACTCCGCCATTATTTTCACTATGACCTACAAAGCGGATTTAGAAGATTAATGGACCAAAGGTTTAGCTCGTGAGGTCGTACCTGCGTCTCGGAGAAATCTTTCTCTATATAGGGCTCGTCCGCGCAAAGAATTCGTATTGCAAGTCCAGGACCGGGGAATGGATGACGTGCGACGAGTGACGTTGGCAAACCGAGATCACACCCCAACTGTCTCACTTCGTCTTTATGAAAATCTTTCAGCGGTTCGACCACGTGTCCTTGCGCTCGTAGTATTCGCACGAGTTCGCTGTCGTTATGGTGTGTCTTTATGACGTCTGCTTTACCTAAGTAAGCAAAACTCACGTTACCGATCAGATTTACCAAAACTTGCTCGTTTTTATCTAATGTTCTTTTTGCTGCGTTAAAACTTTCTCTCTTCAACTTATTTCACTCAAAAAGTTCAACCTGGTACATTAAGACGCCTGGTCGGAATTATCGACGTCAAGACAGAAAAATTTTTTCCGAAATATGTTAAAAAGACCCATGTTGTGGTCAATACTTGCGAACACATTCGTAAACTCGACCTTTTTCGCAAAAATTTTAGACCGAGTTCTTTCGCTTCTAATAGAACGAGAAGGAGAATATATTAAGTATACGGATGTACATATCAGAAGCCTACCACTGACTAAGGCGCTTGCACTTTCTATGAGATCAGGCCTCAGAGTGCCTTGTCCCAAAAAAACATCTTCTGGCTTCAAGCCAATTTCCGCCATTGTCTCGTTTGCAACTCTTACAAAAACATCCCCTATAATCTTCCGTTTCTCCTCCGGATTGGTGGCCTCGCACAACATCTTCGTTAATCTAGTGCGCGGGCTACTCGCCGTACCACATATCCCTTTATTGTTGGTTACATTAGCGTTCATCATGGATCCGATGTTATCCAGAGGGACAGTCGTCGTGCCTTGCATGAAGCAACGACCAGCATTCACTACTTTCAGCTTAACGCCTAGTTGTGCTAAACTTTGTTCCACCGCTTGTGTTTCTCCCTTGCGCATGAAGCCGTTGTTAATATGTAGAGCTATAACTTGTTCTTTGTTTAAAGCTTTATGTAACAATGCTGCGCATACCGTCGAATCCACCCCACCGCTTACCAGTAACTAGAAACCAAATAGGCTTTTGAGTGGTTATATCTCAAAAAAAATTCCGATGTATTCGTCAATCGATACGACGATTTATTACTGATATATATTCTGCAAGGAAAACTTCTAACACTGTGTGTTCTCTAGAGGTAATTTTAAATAAAAAAAAATTTCAGGTGCTCGTCATTCTATATGTGTGTGTGTGTGTGTGTGTGTGTGTGTAGAGAGAAAGAGAGACTATAAACAAAAAAAGTCCAGAGTAAGATCATCCAGAAATTTGCGACAAGAATTTCTCAAATCTTCCAGAACACAAAACTTGTAGAAATTGGTTGGTTTCTTCGCGAAACTACGTTCTACACACACATTTTAGACTTTTTCGTAACGCGGACTAAAGTGTTTGTCAATCGCTTACCAAAACCTTTTTGTCGCCTACAGTATTCCTGATGTATTGGATACATTGCGTTTCCCGATCGCGGAGCGTATAATTACCCGTAAGGCCAGCGATACCAAATAAAAAGTTTTGTAGCATTGTTTTTCCGTTGGGTGTCAAATCTACTTCCGGATGGAATTGCACCCCGTACAGATTCATTTTATCGCTTGCTATACCCACTACGAAGCTTGACGATCTGGCAGTAGTACGAAAAAATTCAGCCACCCTGTCTATGCTATCTCCATGTGTTAGCAATGCCATTTGATCCTTATCCAAGCCCCTAAAATAAATAATTTATCATGTTTTTCCTCCCTTACGATTTTTATCATTCTCACAAAGGAAAAAGTATGATGGACTAATTTCATTACTAGATATTTTCTAATATGAGATCATAATTTACTTAAATAACAGGCACTTGGTATCAACTTCAATGGGATATTGGCCATCCTCTCGAGCTTCTCTCTTGGTTATGGTACCGCCGAATTCTTTGTTTAACATCTGCATCCCATAACAAATACCTAGCACAGGAATTCCTATTCGAAAGATGTCAGCGTCATACCTAGGTGCATCCTCAGCATATACAGAACTAGGGCCTCCAGAAATGATAATAGCCCTAAAACGATCGATGTGAGCATTGATGAAATAAATAATTCAAGTAACACGAAATTTATGTACAAAATCACAATAATATATATATGTATATATATATTATGGTGATATTATCAATAGAGAATATGTGCGAATCTTACTTATATCCTTTCTCTTGTAAAGTAAATGCGGGTGTATCAAGTGGCAGAATTTCACTATGAACATTTAATTCACGAACTTTTCGGTCTATCACTTTTCCATATTGTGCACCTGCATCTAAAATAGCCACCCTCTCATCAACATTTACAATATCCATGGCTGCTTCCTCAGCACCATTATTTTTTTCAGCACGAAACAAGCCATCAGCACTCTTTTCCATCTCAATATTACGTTGGTTAATGTTAATATTGTTGCTATGTCACTAAACCTATAGTAATGTGACAGAAAAAAATATAAACAGTACAGTAAGATAATAACAAAGTAAGACCTGTATTCTGAACACGCTTACAACAATGTAGCGTGCTAACAAGAGATGTGAGCATTTTCAGCATTATCGCTTGTATTCTAAATGTAGCGACAACAATACTCTGTTAGAAAAAATCACACAAACAAAATTCCTATTCAAAGCTACCAATAAGTTGATTTGTTAGCGTGCTAACATCTTTGTAAGCATGTCCAAAATATAGGCCTAAGTACAACATATTTGCAAAATAAAGTCATAATTTATATAATTTCCTTTAGTATCATAAAAATCAAAAGAAATAAGAACTAGCGGAGATTCTCTTTTCTTTCTTGAATAAGATATTCTCCCGTTTGCAAGCTATACGTAACGACTTGATAATTACATAAAGAGATAAAGAATTTTTTTCTAACTTAATCATAGTGATAGTCTTTGGTATTACGCAAGTAAACTTGCTCAATACTGTTTTCATCTCTGTATCAAGGACACAATAAGTATACCAAGTAGCAAAGTCGACGATCAAGAAAATTGAATACAATAATTGATATATTTCTACAGTACATATTTTGTGTCAATGGATGGGTATCTATTCTAAATTTAATGTCATATTGTTTTTCCATGTTTTTAGATGTGATTCTGTCCTGACGATTTCCATTCTGCGAGTAAGACAGATTCTTTTGCACCAATCTGATCCCTTTTTCTAGTGTACTGACACAAGAGTTAAACATACGATTGCAAAATTATATCGTTACATTCTCCTAAACTATATTTTGCACATTCGTTCCAACGGAAAAAGTATATTAAGCCCGAACAGGATGAAAACATGATGATGGTGCGATTGAATTCCGCGCTACAAAGCCACCCAATCTCAAATGCCAGCCCCGTATTTATTACTATTTGTTTTCCCGTTAAACGTACGCTAACCTAGTGACCAGCGGAGAGAATAAGGAATAAGTTTCTGATCTTACATGCAAATTGGTATCTTGACAAAGTACTGTACACCACACTTGTTAGCTAGTTCGACCGTCCGCTCAATATACCCTATGAACGCGTCGGCCAAGGGCACGATCGGGCTCGCGATTTTCAGTGGTGCTCGGCGAGCCGTGCGTTATTTAATGAAAAACAAATCACCGGCCCGTCTCGGCAGCAGCACGTTCGCGCAATAAATTCCACGCGCGGTAAGTAATTAGCGCGGGACCTCCCAATCGAGGTTCGGTCGATTGACTTACCAGATCGACGGAAGATACCGTTCGCGGGGATACCACCGGATAAAGTAAAACTAATCACAGAAGAACAGAATGGACATACATCGAACGAGGCGGCCATTCGATCGCCACAATGCAGCGCGATCGTTGACTGCTTTCAAGTAGCAGTTGCCGAAGCTTACCAACCTCGCGACTATGAAGTCACGAGAAATCGTCTCGACCCCGGTCTACAAAAGGTGCCTTAAGAAATTGACCAATCATAATCTAATGTGAGAAGAATAATTTACCGTGATTGCTCAATTTCTTAGAGCACCTATTGTAGACTGAAGGAAGTACGTTTCATTAGCACGGGAATATTCAAATGCATTAAAGCTCTTTTTCTATTTCCGACAACTATTTTTTTTAATCATTTATTTCTGTTATATTATTATTAGCTATATAACTTTGACAGTTGTCACAACTATAAACTTATTTTTGATTATATATAATGAATTTCCATATATATTCCAGCAAATTGCACTTATATAACTGTTTGTTATAATTTCCTATTCAACAATGTAACTGTTATATAACGTATTTTTCCAGATGAACTAAAAACGTCTTAATAATTATAGGTGCCCTCTAACGAGGAACACGGTGTAACACACAAAGCTATTAGCTTCCTAATATCTACGTTATCTTCTCGAGTGATATGTAGCCATCTCTTGTAATCCGCAATCTTGCTTTAAGGCTGGTATTACGTGCGTCGAGCATTGTCGGGTGTGCTGATTGGCTGTTGAGCATAGAGAATTTCAAGGGCCCCTAAATTTTTCTCTAGACAGAAATTGTGTATCTGACCACACAAATTCGTCGTGCGACGTATTAAAATGACCTGGCTCGAAACCAGGGGTGCGTACGCGAAAAACGTTACTCGAGTGCACCCCACTACATTGGAGTAAGAGAGATACTAGAGTGAAATAAAGAGAGAGCATGCGGGCGATGTTCCCGAACGTATCCCGGAATTGGGAGTGTGAGACGAAAACATTTAACCTTCAATTTTTTTCGAATGGTGATATATCATCCATTATGATTATTATGAAAGTTAGCAGATACCGGAGTTTGGTCTCGGTTTGGTCTGGATATTTTGAACGTTCATGAGACATTTATACATGTGAAAATAATCAATTTATATTTAACTGTTTCACAGTATTGTGTACAAAAGCGGTGCAAAATTATTGTGACTGATAAGAAGTGAGGAAGTATTTTAACAGTTTAAAGAATGTTGTGTAAGGTACGTGTACAAATTTAAATACAATTTCATTTAAAATGATCATGGATTATATTTGATCTAGTATTTTGGGTGTATAATATACAAAATAATATTAATTCGAAGAATATATTAATATATAGATTATTAATTATATTCCCTTTCTTATAGGTTATATTCATACTTTGTTTCTACATTATAGGTAAAGCTATTTCTAGAGAGCTACAATAAATTATCAGATTGGAATTAACAAATAGTGCAAATTCGCTTTTCTTATATATTACTTATATAATTTGTTGATACAAACTATACTATATATACAAGATGTATTTTTTAGGATTAAATTCTATACATATTGTTGTATTTTTCATAACTTTAGGTAAGGGCTAATTAATTTCTGTTACTTAGTATGGATTATATAATCTTACAAAAAAATTATCGCATACTCTTATTCACCTTTATTTACCTTTATAAGAATTAATTTTCTCAGTTATTTAATTTTTTAAATTAATATGTTCATTGTTATTTCTCTCTCCTTCTCTTTGTATTTTTTAGTTTGTATCACATATGGCAAAGAAAATATGGAAGAATCGCTGGTGCAAGCTAAACTCAAAGATGCTTTCAACCAAGAAAAGAGCGAACAAATTTATGCAGATAAAGAAAATGATAATGTAAAAATAAGTGCTGAAGTAACAACAAACATTACCGATACTATTTCAACAAATATTACTAAAGTTAACTGTTCATTGGAGAAGGTCTATGGTCCTGTTGAGGTTTTGCAAGAAATAGCATTTTATTATTGGGATGAGATAAAAGTTTTGGAGCAGTTAATTGCACTTAATTACGTAAAAAAGTTTTCCATACAGAATGATGAAACAGCAATAATTTTGTTCATATCGTTAACTAAATTAATGTAAGATGAAAAATTCTTAATTTAACGATTTACGAGTAAATTATCTGCTCCAAGATTTTTGGCTCGACAAATGAAAGATTTGCCCCGATAGTCTTTATCATTTCTTTTATACATTATAGATTGTCAATGCGACAAGACTCATGGAATTATTGATCCTGGAACCTGGACCATCAAATCGCTCAAGAAGTGGCAAAGATAGCAAGCAATTGCCAGGGACCTGTATTTTAGTATTATTTTATGCTAGATCATGCGTCTTCAGCAGTCAAGCCGCACCACATTTCAATGCCATACCTCGGTCATTTCCTTATATGAAAGCTGTGGCTATCGATGCCATAAAGCATCAAAGGTAAGAGATTTATATTACGATTCTACTATTTTTTGGTATTCACTTGAAACATCATTTTAGCTTCAACGCACAATATGGAATAGTTGGAGTACCAACATTGATGCTAGTTCATAATGGCAAACCCGTCGCCAAATTCAACGATACAGTTTATACTTTGGAATCATTTGCCAAATTTGCATCTCACTTGACAAATTTACAATCAAATGGTTCATTGTATGTTACATCAGCAGACTTCACTGGACCAGTTTCAAGCATACCTTCTAACGAAACGGACTACTGTCTTGTTCTATCATGGATATTCAATATTGCTTGCATGTTATATTTCATATCACGCAGTAGATGGTGGCAGCAATTTGTCGAAGTTATTCAGAACACTTGGCGCGAGAGCAATGCACAGCATGAACACGCTGATTAGAGTATATAGGCTTTTCCATTAATTATTTAAATTATCTTTAATTGATTATTTATTCAAGCTTTGTGAGTAGAAAAAGTCGAGTTCGAGTTTGTGAGTCGAAAAAGTAGTATTTTATATGAGTGTCAATCTGGAAAATTGTTTTAAAATATTATATAACGGTTATCACGAAAAGATTCATAAATAAGTTCCTAAAACTTACAATTAAGTAAACATTTCACTAATTTGTACAAGTACTTTATGTAAATATAAAATAAGTGAAGGTTAAGAAATAAAAGAAATTACATGAAATGACAGAAGAGAGATGTTATTTTTTTTTTCAACTGAATATTGAAACATTTCTCAGGGACGGAAAGAGGAGAGATACAAGAAGAGTGAAATAAGAATTGTAATTTAATAATAACTTTATCGAGAGGGCACACGGTCGAAAAATTACGAACCCTAAAGCGGAAGTTCTGGTGGTCACGTGAGCAGGTTGTACTCTAATGGCTGACTTCGCGATTCACTTATCAATATTCCAACTTCACGATTATGTGCGGCATTTGTTTACGCTGAAGTTTGTCTCTAGTGGATTTGTTATTGCCGTGACTAGGTTGTAGTGTGGATTACTCGGGAAGAAGAGAGTTTATTTAGTGAGCAATTTAGTTAGAAGAATCGGCAAACTGTTTACAGATAAGATGACATTTCTACGGATTAATTCCAACGGTGGTGAACACTTTTTTCAACGTCTCTCGCTAGGTTAAGTTGCGCATTGAAAGCGCGAAGCGGTTCGAATTTGATTTTCGGGAAGTTGACCAAGTCAATTATGGGCTCGCTAAATCTTGTCTGTCCGATGTGTTGCGGCGAAACCTTCAACAACCCTCAATCTTTGAAGTATCATCTATTAAGTATAACGGACAATCTCTATTGTCCTGGCTGTTCGCAACGTTCTGATTCTGTGACGGCGCTTATCCAGCATTTAGACAAGTGCCAACAAGGTTTGCAGCGCAAGATCAAAACCGAAGTCTTGATGGATAAAGCTCGAAAAGTCAACGAGGAGTCGGAAAATAAAATGAATATTCTAGCGGTTGGTAGAGTAAAAAGAATTTTGCAATTTCTAAATTCTTTATATATGTATAAAAACCTCTTAAAATCTTGAAAAATAACAGTCTTGACTAAAACTTGAACATTTTTCCGAGTTTCGAAAACTTTGAAACAAAACTTTTTGCAAAGTGAAAATTATATCAATGTTTGAGTGAAAGATTTTATTAATTTGATAAAATACCATAATTCTTAGTCTGTGATTAAAAGAAATCGATAAAATTTAGACTCAATATTCTCAGAGAGCTAAATAACTAAAATATATATAGGATGTTTCAAATTTGGTGAGGAACAAATTGAGGTGAACGAAAAACTATTTTGCAAACAACTAGAGATATTAATGACTGAAAATGGCCATCTATAGAAGCTTCTTTAATTGATAAAATTTGTCCGTTATTGTCTTCAATAACATACAGATGCTTGAATAAAGCTGGATAATTAAAAAATTTTATTGTCGTGTATTTAAGATGATTGATTGCTAACTTAACATCATATATAATGATATTTTGCAATAATTAATTAATTTTATTAGGATGTTAAAGTACAGCAGATCAATCGAAGCTTTCTAGCAACTGTGAATGACACCGGAATTGTTATAGTTGGTGACCCGCAAACTATACAAGTTGATGAAAATGGTTCGTAAAGTTGTTGTTATGCACAATTCTGAAAAATTAAACGTTGTCTCTAATATAAATATCAGGAGAAATTAAAGTCGTAGAAAAACTGGAATTGGACGGAACACAACCAGGTGAAAATTCTCTGGATTTCAAGATATCTGAAGATCTTCGCAGTTTTGGTGGTGAGAAGCAAAGAAGACCGCAATCATCTCAAGGATTAGTGGCTATTCCTGTATCGAATTGTGTCACAGAGCGCAAAGAGGCACTCCTAGACAAGAATATGATCGCTATGTTGTCAGAAAATTCTGAGCTTCTAGATGGTGATGTCACAACCTTCATCAACGTGGATCGCATAAACGATGTGGGAGAGTTAGATGAAGCTGGTCTTTTGCGTATCAAGCAAGAACTGTGCGAGGTAAAAATATTGAAGTTACATTGGATGACTTGTGAATGATTAATAGATGACTTCTCATGCAATATTTGATAAGAGTCATTTTTGGCTTTGCAGTTACAGTATATAATCTTTCACAGATGGACTCAGATGCAATATATAGTTGCACCAGTTGTGATATAAGTTTCAATTCCGTCTTGGAGCACATTAAACAGTTTCATGATGGGCAAGAAGTCTTACTGGAAATGGCGGAGCAATTGGACGATCTGACGACGACAGTGCCTGTAAATGCAATGTCTACAGTGTCTGAAAACTCAGAAAATCTCGTTAATACGCGGCAAAAGCAAACTATGAATACGTTGCGTACGGAGGAGTGCATCGACAGCGAAGGTAGGCTTTATACCAGGAAAGTAGTACAAATCGAGAGATTTTGGGACCGAACGCCGATTCAAGTCGCGACGTCACAATCAGCGAAAGCTCCTATGATTGAGAAATTCTTCTCAAACGTGGAAGGCATTAAGGTGCGAGTGAAAAAAGATTTGCGCCTAAAATGTTCGGCATGTAACAAGAGAATCAGTGTGTAATATTGTGTGCACAGGTACGGGAGAAGCGCCTGGCGTCCACACCGTTGCGAATGTATAAATGCAATCAATGCTTGCAGCAGTTCTCGAAATTGGGAAACTTTCGCGTGCACGCCTGTTTGCACGGTAACAATCGTTGCGACCATTGCGATCAAAGCTTCGCAACCCCTAAAGCCTTGCAACTCCATATGAAAGTACATGAAAATCAGGCCGATCCCGGTCAAAAGACGTTCATTTGTACAACGTGCGGCACTGAATTCTGCTCTCATAAAAGTTTGCGACTACATTCGAGAATGCACGCTCCTGTGAGAGCTAGGCATGTAGACGCACCCGAAGGAACTCCTACGGCGACCTTCACTTGCCCCGAATGCGGTAATAAAATCCAAGCAATTGCAATTTTAGCTCTTGAATATTCACAGATACTTAAATATTGTTATACGACTTTACGCAGGTAAGACTTTATCTGAATCGTACAAAGATGCGCACATGGCATTGCATACAGGCGACTCAGTAACGTGCGCTGTCTGTAACAGAAAATTTGATTCTTCGGACAGCCTAGCGATGCACGCAGCAGTGCACACTGAACTGGCGCCTCCGCAGTCACCGCCCGTCTCAGTCCCAACCTCGGCTGAAACAACGACAGCGACGACATTAGCGATTACGACGACTGCAACTTCAGTTACTACGATAACGACGGCGACGATGGAAGCTGGTGAAAGTCAAAAACCTTATCAATGCCAGCATTGTGGTCGTAGATTCACTAGACCTCACGAAAAGGTCAAGCATGAACGAATTCACACGGGGGAGAAGCCACACGCTTGTGAGGTAAATGGAGACGCGTAAATTGATATTTTTCAATATAAAATATAGAAACGATCTTGCATGTTGAAAAAAAAAAATATGTATAACGTACTTTTTCCGATATAATTTATATAACGTCATTATTATTTTATCAATAATGTTTACAATCGCATTTATTGAGTAATGAGTAGAATTGTCGCTGTTATCATTACTTTGTACGTTATATAACAAATCTTGAAAACTTGATGATGAAAAAGTAACGACCCGCTGCTTTCTCAATAACTTGAGCTATTTTTCCAAATGGGTTTAACGAGTTATTTTTCAAAAGTAACTTTCCTAATTAAAATAAAACCCGACTTGATAATACGAAATTAAATTATAATCAATATAAACGTGTGAAAAGTTTTACCGTTGTGGTAAAGCGCGAAGAAAAACTCGGTTTTTTTACTAATAATAATGTTGTCCTTCCGCCCCCCCCCCCCTTCTTTATCAGTGATTGCACCAGATAGAAAGAACTGATTGTCTGATTGCAGGTCTGCGGCAAGACCTTCCGCGTGTCCTACTGCTTGACATTACACATGCGTACGCACACGGGTGTGCGACCCTATACCTGCCAACATTGCGGTAAACGCTTCAAGGCCTCCTCCGTTTATAATCATCATATGTTGACGCATGGCGACGCGCGCGCCTACACGTGTCCGTACTGCCCGAAGACGTTCAAGACGCGAGTGCAACTCGCTGGTCATAAGAACAGTCATACGAAGCCGTTTCGATGCACCGAGTGCTCGCGACCATTCGCGTCGCTCTATGCCGCCCGTTCGCACATTCAGACCCATAAAAAGGACAACAACCTCAAGTACAGCTGTTACATATGCGGCGCATCGTATGGCCGAGCGTTTGCTCTGAAAGATCATCTGAAACAACACGGTCAGGACGTTTCAGCACCGCCAGAGCCGGCGCGGGAGGAAGAAGTCCCAGAGGGTTTCCTTCTAGGTGAGGAGGTACCTGATAAACGCCTTGCGCCTATCGGCCCTACCTCTGTAGGCGATTAAAATCAACGAATCGTTGCAATCCGATTCTAGTCGAATTGTAGCACTTAATTGTTCGTGTAGATTGAAAGATCTGCGCGTATCTTCAGGCACTGTGATCGCGCGCGGAAGAGAGCTTTTACATGTCTGCGCGTAACAAATTTTCTACCAAAACTCGCAATTAGTTGATTATACTTGCTGATCATTGTTCATGGTTGAATTGTTCGTATTTCTTGAATAACGTTCGCCAGCCATTTTCGGCGGCAATAAATACGCCGATTTCATTTCAAGCTGAGAAAGTTCATCGTAGGTCAGAAATATCTCATCAAGTCTTGTGAATGTTTTAATTAATATTAAATACATCATTATGCAATGTGAAATTAAATGCTAGTCCTTTAGTTGAAAAAAAAATGTGAGAAGTAAAATATTTGGGTACTAATCCTGATGATACTTTTTCTTTCAAATAACAATATATATACTGATTATATGTTGTTTCATTGTTATATAATAAACTATATATTTTTAAGCATATTTTACAATACAGAGTAAGAAAAGTCGCAGATGGTTTCATATTGCATAACACACATGTCCAATTGTAAAACTTTACGACAATACAGTTTGAATTTCAAATTAAAATTTAAATATGTATATGTGCTCGTGTGTGCGCGCTTTCCATTGCATATAATGAATATATTATTTATTTGTAAGTATATTTCACATATACAGTACATATTTACATATCAGATTATATAAAAAAGTTTATCAATATTCATTCTATGTAATGGACATTTAAAAAACAGCCAGAGAAATTGCAATAGTTTGGAATTTTAGCAGCAAAAAACCAAGTTTCACACACGCGCACGCAACTTGTTTTATTTGTATTGAAATTATTTAATTAATTACAAAATATCATTGTATAGTTATATATAATTAATTTATTAATTCTGAGTAATATCAAATTACTCAAAGTTTCAGTGTTATTTTTTTATGTTACCTGGAATTAAAGTTTCATCTAGAATGTTATTCAAATTGAAATGAATTAGAGTCATTTTGAGTTAAATACTTGTTAGTTTCATAATAATTCACAATTTTATTCATACGTTCAGGAAAAATTTACGATAATAAATAATAACATTATATCTGTTGTTATACCTGTTGCTATTATCTTTCTGACTAATTAAACTATCTATAAAATTATCTATAGAAAAGTTGTGAATCGAATTGTCATTTCTATCACTATTCAATTATATCTGTATACTCGGTTTTAATATGGCTTAAACATTTACTTTTTCATGCAATTGAATGAAGAAGTTTTCTTATTGGACTATCGGCTGCTTCCAAACTGTATTGAGAAAGAAATGTTCAAACTAAATGTACCTGAAACATCAATTTTTACAGAGAGTGTCCGACAATTAATAATTAACAAAATGAAGTACAGCGGATCAAACAAAAGGAGAAATTATCTGCATCATTTTGCAAATTTTGCAATAGTTATTAGAATAGCTGACTCTTTCTAATACTACTAGAAAGAAGCTCGATAAATCCGAATATTTATAAATATGATTTAAAGCTCCCTCGCTGCAACTGTTGTTTTTCTCATGATTTCTTTTCACGTTAATTTTACAGCTAATTTCAGTTAAATTTATATAATTGTACATAATTTTATTTTATTTTAATATTTGCATATACATACATACATGTGTCAGAAGCTGGAAAAGTGTAAAAAATGAAATAGTTCATAAAAAGATAAACAACATCACAGCTAAATGAAGCAAATGAGATAAGCAAAGCTAGTCATATCTATATATGTTTCTAATCTATTATTTGATCAGAACATTTTTAAGAGTATCGCTTGTTATCTTGCCACCCATCGAAGTGATTAAAAGGTTTCCATTCCAAGAAGCTACGCCATCTCCATTCACTACCAAATCAACCTAACAAAAAAAATATATATATATCATTTTATTTTATTGCGTACTATTTGTTTTAATGCTCTGAGTTATATTAATATATATATTTACACGGAAAAAAAAAGATATCAAATTAGCTACGCATACCTGTAACTTTTCCCACACTTTTTTTTTTGGATTAAGCACATCATCCGCAGTTCCATTTTCGTATCCTTCAATAATAATTTTATCGCCAACCACGCTGCCCTGTGGAGGTCTTAAAGGTTCCACTTGCCTTGTTGGTTCATCGCTATACAAAACAGAACATGTTAATTGTTACCAAATGTTATTAATCGTACATCTCGTCCGCATTTTAGCCATTTTTAATATTTTTTTTTTTGCGGCAAAAAGAAAATTGGTTTCTGAATAAACTCAACAGCATCTGAAAGTGTATAATTCAAGAACTTTCAAACGAACTTTCGTTCCTGATCGTACAACTTTTTTCATCAAGTAGTGACTGTTTAGACTTTCTGTAAAATTTATAAGAAAGGTAAATACACACATGACAGCAAATAAATAATTGTAATATGAATTTACTTGCAAGGAACGGATGAGAAATATAAGTTTTAAGTACATATGCTATTATACTTTTTTTTTCATTTTTTATATTGCCGCGATGTTTTCATCCCCAACATAATTGGTCTGTCATTTATGTCATTTTACTTACATACTGGTGTCGCAATACCACCCTGCTACTTGAAACGATATTATTATTAATAAAATATTTACATTGAAGCACAGAGGACCATGCCATGCGATGAAATTCCTCTGAGATTTGCTGGTTTTAGATTAGCGAGGACCACTACCATTCTATTTTCCATCTCATTCAAAGGTACGTAATTGACTAAGCCGCTGACTATGGTGCGTGGACCATTCGGTTCTCCTAAATCTATCTTTTCTACATAGAGTGTATCTGCATCAGGATGCTTTTTCACTTCGATTATTTTGCCTATGCGAATATCCAGTTTCGCAGGAGTAATGTCCACCTCTGCAGCTTCTAAATTATATCAAACGTTGCAATTATCACGTGAAACTATTAAGGTTTAGTTCAGATCTACGTATTCCAATCCACGAGATCTTTTTGCAATTATTTCGAACTATTTGGTACAATTACTTTGTTTTTGTTGCGAATACGCCTTGTTCGCCAAGGTTTTCAATTTCGAGTTTGTCTCAAATTCCTTACGAATTGGACCCAGAAGTTTATTGATATATATTTCTACAGCGTTTTTCAAATCACCAGGGTGTATCTTCTGCCTCGCAAAGGCAGCCTCCAAGTCTTCGTATTTGATGAAGGATACATTACCACCTAATATTACAAGGCAAAATCCATGATATTATTTATTATTCCTTTCTAAATCTACTTTAAATAGTTTTCAGTAGTTGTAGATTAGATAATAAATAACATAAATGAACATACCAAACTCCGCGGATCTTGGTACATTGAAAACCTCGCCATTTTTGAACAGCGGAAATATAACATGCTTGGAGAACGCCAAGATACCGTTATCCGTGATATTCCCAGGCTCGCAAAATGCTTTCTTCAACTTTTTCTTTACGGCTGCGGCATTGTCCAACAAATCTATCTTTGAATCTTCTTCAGATGAGGACATTTTTGCCCCTGCCAAGCCTGGAACTGGACAAACAGATGAAGTCAACAAGCTATAGAAACAGAGATGGTGTCAAATTTGAATAAGAAAATATATAAGGTTTTAGTTCATTTTTTTTTTTATACTGACTCATTGGATTCATTAGATGAACACGTTTGTCGTATCCCAACATGGGCAGGTATTTCTCCGCAAAAGTAAAGATTTTTCTCTGATCAACGCCGCCAAATTGAGCATCTACCTGTAAGTGTTGCTCGTCAAGCGCCTGTAGTCCTGGATAGAGAAGGCCGGAGAGCAAAGGATTTGTAACTTGCTTGACAACTTCAGCTCCTGCTTTCTTCGCATCATGTTCTGTCACCATTGAGCTTAGACGATACACATCTAATGTGTACTCCCTTGAGAAAAAAGCAATATTTATGTCGCCTAATTGCCTTGGAAATAATACCTTGGAAATGAAGTTTTGAACAATAACTTTTTTCATCTATATTTGTACAAATTCCAGTGTTAGAGAGTAAAAATGCGTTACTTAAAACTTTGTTACTGTTTTTTTTGTTATTTGAATAACAGGAACTACTTTTTTTTTGTAATAGGTATAATGATAATAAATTATTTTTAAAACATAATTTTCCTAAAACACTAACAATAATATACGAAACGCCACGATAAAAGGAATAATCTGTCACTGCTAACAGTAATGCTATCATGATGTTATACAAGATGTTGTAAAATTATATTAACTTACTTGGTTAACTGATAGTCTGTTCCTTTAACAAACTTTAAATTGTCCAGTGGAACATCAATGGATTTTAGCATTCCTTTTATTATAACTTCATAATATTGAGTACGAAGTTCTAAGAGTTCCCATGGGGCTTTCATATTGTCTAAATACGCATGGAGGTCAGCAAAGAGAATAGTCACTTCTGTTCCACTCCGCAAGAAATCAGCTATTTTGGATATAGGTGCAAAATATCCTATATGAGGTTTCCCAGTTGTAGCTGTACCCCAATATAATTTAAGATCACGTTCCTTTAGGATATTTTTCAGTTTCTCATCTCCCAGCCATTCTGCCAAATTTCTGGTAATGAGCTTGTACTTTTCATCCCATGTCAAAGCCATTATTAGTTTTCTTCGTATGTATATCTCTCTATTTTCCTGATCAGATTTATATATTATATAAAATAACAGTTCTGATTATATTAGAAAATTTATATTAAGGCTCTGGAATAATTGCTATGACTGTCCTTATTTAATGATGTCAGAAGCAAGAAAACATGTCAGGATTTTTTGCATTATGCATTCAAACAAAAAGATATATAAAAGTGTTCGTCCAATTTTATAAGTGTGCTGAATTGATCACAAATGTCACTTTGTAGATACATTTTTTTTTTTATTTGAAAGTGTAGCGCAAAACATTTTGGCATACATTTTCTCGCTTCTGACATCATTAAACGGGACAGTCACAGCAACTAGCCTTAAAGCAAAAAATAACAAAAAAAGAAAGGGAAAAGATAAATGTTGCTTTAGTCATACAATATATATATATATATATATATATATATATATTACAATTACATCAAATCACATAATGTAATGTAATAAATTCTATGTTTAACATATATTTTATGTTAACATATGTTACATGTATTCAAAAATTCCACAAGTTTCAATCAACCACAACACAGTAAACAATATTTCCTTCAAAAGTCTCATTATATTCGATTTTACTACAAAGCAATCCATTTTAAATAATATTTTTTTATGACACAAGAATGATATATTAAGAATATTTTCAACATATGATCATATGTATTCTAGATATATCAATATTATATTCTACGCGATGTTTATACTTGTGAATTTTTTTCATAGTTATTGATGTTTATGATTTAGTGCAAAGAATTAAATAAGTTAAAATTCATTATTCAAAGCACATTTCATGACAGATATAATTGCATCATAATATACAGATAAATATGGTACAATTCATTTCTTTGATAGAGAATCTTATTCCTTACCGAAAACACTTGTCGTTCTGGTTGGTTGGTTGAATTTTGGTTATGGCAGGTCAGCAGCACTCCCTTACACCAGTTACCATAGAGATATAAGAATAAAGGGGACAAGGGATATATGCTACCTGTAAGTAGAAGTGATAGAGGCAAAGAGAGAGATGGATGCCGAGTGTCCTATCTGTCTCTTTCTAGTCACGCGCTGGGATTGGCTGCCGCGCCAACGACGATATAGCTATACATTTTTCTCCATCCAATTCAAAGAAACTGTCATTGCTAAAATGATTACTGCAAATATATGCTGTTTTCACTTCAAAATACAAAGGTAGTTGAAGTATATTCAACCATTTACGCCTTATATCTACATCCTTCGGTAGCCTACAACATTTACATATTTTTTTAAATGTAGGAAAAAATAACATATAATTATTTGAGGTTACGTATTTGTACTTTCTTACGAGTGAAAACTGCGGTTACATCCAGGATAAGACTCCGCCTTGCATTTCAAACAATGCCTCATTTTTAAACAAATCGCGTCCAATTATTATTTTGTTAACGTTCGAATATTTAACGAATTTTAATTCTACACACATGTGCACGCATATTTACAAAACGAAATTTTAGTCTGCTTTCTCCCCTCCTGACGTCGCGTGGTCGTCTTGGCGGCTCATTGTAACAACCAATCACAGCGCTCAACTAGAAAGAGACAGATAGGACACTCGGCATCCATCTCTCTCTTTGTCTCTATCACTTCCACTTACAGGCTTGTTCCCTCTATTCTTATATCTCTATGCCAGTTACAAAAATCCGACGTTCCGGAACGACTTTATCAAAAAGACATGACGATGCTCGTTCCACTTATCGTCACGCTCACGTTAATGGAACGGATAATTACGACGTTTCGAGCGTGAGCGTTGCAATCGTTATGTGGAACGCACCCATGGTAGTATGAGCCAAAAAATTGCACAAAATTGTTGTAAATCCAACGAAAACTTTAAGCATTGTCAAATATTAAGCGCCACGTTAAGCGACATCGTTAAGCACAGTGTAAACGTAGAGTTTCGAGACCAATGTTTCAAAATGTTGAAGACAGACAGTTCGCTCACTGCACAAACAGTTCTTGCAACTAATTTATTGTCGATCGTATCTTGTGATAGTCACTATTATCCAAAAGGAACGCAGAAACGATGAAAAGTAAATTTATTACTGGCACACCATATGTAGGTGAGGAAAGATTCATAAATTAGAGAGACAATGCGATATTTAAACATATAAATATTTATTGTTCTAGTTAGATTTTTCTCGATTATGCTTTTTTCTTTATTCTTAGCGAAAAATACGTGAAATTCCACGAGCTATAATTTCCTAAGTAAAAGTAACAGACATTTCAAGAGCATAGCTAGGGTCACTAAATTTTGTGAATAAGAAGTTGCACAATCGAACCAATTAGATTAGTCAAATGTAACCTAACCGAGCCAACCTGGCTTTGGCTGCGTTCGAGAAGCACGCTATCAGCGCGTCATTTTATCTTTGTCCCTCAGAGCAAAGTTGGAATGCGCTGATCAACGCTAATTGCGCGAACGTACCCTTTGATTGATCTTAATGGTTCATATTACGTCATAATAGTGCAATTAGTGCAGCTTATCTACCGTCGTGGAAGTTAGTGCTAGCATGGTGAGGTTCTGAGGGATCTGCCACCTTTATTTTCCTCTCACGTTGAAATTCATATTGATATAAAATTATAATAAAAGGTTTCTTCCCCATACACTTACTCCATGTATCTAATTTATACAATACATAATAAAACGTTATTTATTTCTTTTAACATTGCTAAACATAACATTGCTAAAGAAATATTCCAATGGATATTTTATTTGAATTTAACATAATTGAAAATTATTATAATTACAGATGAAAAAACTACACGAATGGTTGTTGGTTATGACTGGGCTTTTCAGTATATGGTATGCTGTACTTACCAGCAACTTTATGCTTGTCAAGGAATGGCAAAACGTTGTATTTGTCCTACCATTCACTCTCTTGTTCCTCTTTGGTTTGTTCGCAGCTACAGTTGTGATGTATAGAGTACTCACCTTTAATATTTGTAAAAGTGCAGCTACTGAGCTTCAACAGGTTAGTTTGAAGGCACTTTTTATTTAAAAAGATGTCTTTATTTTAATAATACTATTACCTAATATATAGTATGTAATGTTTTATCACTTTTTTCTTTTTTTTTTTTTAGCAAATAGAAGAAGCAAAGAAAGATCTTCGAAGCAAAGGTATAATATTTAAAGAGATCAATGTTCCTTCAGCATCTTAAAGAAAGTTTATATAAATAGCATAAAATAAGAAAGAAAGAGCAGATTCTTTTGTAATTCATATGAGTGTTTATTACTCTCGCGAGTTTTGTATGGATGTATATGCAAATGTACGTCTGCTATATGTAAAAAAATAATACACAAATATCTTCCAAAATCTATTATTGACTATAATAATTTCTCTATTCAAATGTATGATAAATATGAATCAGAACGTTTCACACAATTTTTAAAAAACAATCTCTAAAATGTAAATATTTGCTCATATTCTTTTTTTTTAATAAATCCATACTGCTTTAATATGACTTATCAAGTAGAAATGGTTGGTACTTATTAGTAAACTGTAATGTTGATTTTAGTAATCTTTAAAGAATCAATTAATTAGTAAATAATTACCATGTACTTCACTCTTTACAATCTTTTAAGAACTTTAAAATAATCTCCATTTAATCACAACACAGATTATATATCATGAGGTTAGAGAATCATGATCATGATTCCAATAAACCAATACCTTAATCTCAATAACACTGCAAAGATAGAATCAGCTTTTATTGTCAAAAACAGGATGCTTTAAAGGCAATGCAAATGTTATTTTGAGGTTTTGCTTTCGAACTCCTAAATTGTTGCTATTCGGCATTTTGTGTATACCAAACTTATCATGCTTTATGTCTGTCACAACTTTATAAAAATTACATGTGTCACTTTCAAAAGGGAATTCGAATATAAAAAGGAATGACAAATTATTTGTATTGTCTTTTTTTCTACCACGTGTAAGAATCATTGAATCAGTAGTAACGGTACAGTAGTACAACGGGCTCACTTGTATTTTTGTAAATCGTAATTTATTCATTTATGCTATGTATTACAAGTGTGTTGAGCACACAACGGAAAGTGTGTTCTTTAACAGCAGTTCATTTTCTATTAATTCTTCTATATTAAAAAAAAAAAAAAAAAGAAAAAGAAATAAAACTCGAGTCAACACAACAAATGGATTAGAGTTTTATGCATTGATACTAGAACTCTCCAAAGAATAATTCTCTATATTTCTTTTGTACTAAAAAAGAGCAATGAAAAGTGTTCTTGTTATTGTTTTAATTAATATGTAACTGTATTATACAAATTCAAAGATTCAGTTTCTTGATTATGTAACATACACAAGTACGTACTTACGTATGTATGTAATTATCACGTAAAAAACTGGAATTAATCTATATTATCTTTTACTTTATTATATAAAAAATACGAGAGAATCCAATATATGCACAACAATTTATGATTTAAATGTCTGTGTTATTTTAACATTGCATAATAGATGTATTGTTTAACTGTTTCAATTATTTGTTATAATTAATTTTATATAGAGCACTTTATAGACCAAGAATTTACTATTAGCAAGCATTCAATATTCTGACAGATGTATTTGAACGACGATAATTTGATAATTGTATTGAACAATCTATTTAATGGCGTTAAATAAACTATATGATAATTTCATTGTTTCTTTTATAATAAATTATTGTAATTTTACATGCAAAGTAGTATTGAACGCTGTTTAAAGCAGTAATTCACTTTTCAATGTTGTTATATCTAAATATAAGAAATTTCTTTTTACATTAGTACATACATACATAGGCACGTACATACAAATACATACATACATACATACACGCACGCGCGCGCGCGCACACACACACACACACACACACGCGCACACACACACACACACACACACACACACACACACACACAGAGAGAGAGAGAGAGAGAGAGAGAGAGAGAGAGAGAGAGAGAGAGAGAGAGACAGACAGACAGACAGACACATACATGTATATACATGTGTGTGTGTGTGTATATATATGTATGTATGCATGTATGTATTTTTGTATGTATGTATGTATGTATGTATGTATGTATATATATACACGTGATTATATGTGAATGAATGCACTCTATAATTTTTATATTAGAAAGCCCATAATAAATGTACAGAATAATACATGTGTTATACTTACATGTAGACATTTAGATATGTATAAAACATACCTGTGACGTGAAAGCGAGTACATTCTCGTACGATGCTACTCGACTCTCGACGTATGTAGACATTGTGAGATTTATAATATTTCTTACAATATCTCACGTAACGCAGTGGGCTTTCTTACATAAAAATGCAATTGTATTAAAGAAAGAACATAGGATCCTTATAGTGTAGCACTTGTAGGCTGTAAGGATGGATTATAACACTGCTGTAAGCTTTTTCTCGTTCATAAATGACACATGTCACATGTTAAATGAAATGTATTCTTCTTTTTAAATATGAAACAATACTCAAAAGAGTTGGCGGTTGTATAACTGTTGCAATGCGCATTCGTCTTATAGATTTAATTGCTTACCAAACACACCAGATTTTATCTACACAACAAATAAAATAGCATAGATATTGCATATACCTATATACAAAGTAAAGATGATTAGTGTAAAGTCAAAAAATGATAATGGTGCAATCATCCACCCTTCTATGTCAGTCATTTGTTTTTCCCTTTTTTTTCTTTTCCTTTTTACTCACATTACTCGAAATCAAATCAGTGAGCATTTCAGTCATCGAGATTTTGCGAAAGCAGGAAGTTAGCTGCGAGATTTTCGTTCTTTTCACATGCGAAATATGCTTGGACGACTAAATGTTCCGGGAAACCTAACGCCTTCAGCCTCTCGATGGCGTCCCTGTCCTGTGGTGTTATCTGGATTACACCTCCTGCGCCCGCCACTGCACCTGTGCCAGTAGTTCCGGTTAGACCTCCTGGAGCAGCCGCGGACGCTACGCCGCTCGTCGGCAAGACTCGCGCTCCTGCTCCCGCGGTGGGTTCCACTATTGGGGGAAAAAAAAGGCAGAGGAATAAGCGTGTATTATACGAGGCTCTTTGATTAATGAGAATATCTTTAATTATAAAAATATTATATATATGTAAACTTTGATGTCAAAGGAATAGTCGAAAAAACAGTGATAATGCGCTGGTAATTGACTTGGTAATTGATGGTAATATAGTTACACCGGCTTACATGAGTCAAAGTATAGATCAAGTTAAAATTTTACAGTATTCAGTTGGCTGAAGATCACAAATATTATTCGAAATAATTCTTCCGTAATTGATTGTATTCTGTACCTGCGTGAGTACAACTTTCAATAAATATAAGCAGACAACTTTGGCGTTATTTTTCTACTTAAAATGGGACTAAGCTACTTTTCGATGCATCCGAGACTAACCAGGTTCATTGAGCATGCGTACAAACGCTTCCTGGTTCTGAGAAATAAGCTGCAAAAGAGCAGGATTGGTCGAGCCAATTTGCTGCAGAAGATTGTTCAGTAATTGCGGGTTCTGTTGAATGACTTGGCGCATTTGTTGAAATTGCGGTTGCATACGTAAGAAGGCCAATGGATCCTGACTCTGATCCTGAAGCTGTTCTTGAGCCTCCGGCGGATCCTCAGGCGGATCCTCGAACAACTGCGCTGGTATACCTGTTAAAAGATACTCCACAGCTCTATCAGGATTGTTGAAACTCGCGCGCAACGCTTGCACAACCTGTTCACGTTCATACCTAATACAAATGAGCGATCAAATGAATAAGGATATTATATAAAAATATTAATAATTATTCGCATTATCTCACACACCCCATATCCATGATGTTTTTCACCATAGTATTGTAATCCTCTCCCATCAACAAGGCACTTTCAGCTTGACCACATCCAGCAGCCGGCGCAGCTGCCGCAATTTGCTCTTGCACGTTACTGGCTGCTCGTGACGTATCTTGAACATTAGGGTTTGGACTAGGTTGTGCTACCGAGCTATAACACGGAAATACAGCCATTTCAAATATATATATTATTTGTGAAAAAAGTGTTTTATAGCCATATTTCACTACCTGTCGCAATTATTATTTCTTACAACAGCTGATAACACAAGCATTTTACAATGGAACACATCTGATGCATTTTACAGTGTGTTGTAAATATTTAAATCACCTTGAAGTAGATTCTTCCTTGTTCTCTCCTTCTGCGCGTTGCTCATCGCTTGTTTTTGGAGTAGCATTGGTTTTAGGCTTTGTTACCATAACAACTATAAACTTCTTCTCATCGATATTATATTCTGTTAACGGCTGCTCATCTGCTAATATTTTTCCTGTAAGCGTTCGTATCGTCACGATCTCACAAGTAAAGATTTTAATATAAAAAATCTCAAATCATAACAGGAAACATAACCTATCGGCATTTTTTTTTTTTTTTGCGGAATCATTCTTACTCCCAGGAAGAGATGCATTTTAACGCGTGCTATATCACATTTAATATATTACAACAAGGCAGACACTACGAATACAGCCGTTTCCACGCACTGGCTAGAACAGTTAGGTTATCCGACAATGTTACTTACCAGCGTATATCAATTTCTGTTGTTCGGCAGGCAGACCTTTTTGCGTTTCGATCTTTTGCTTCAGATCTTTGACCTACAATAATATGCGTAAATATTTTGCCGGTTTATCGATACAAAAAAAAAAAAAGAGATCTTTTAATCCTGCCCGATTTTACTTACAGTTTGCGACGAGTCGATCTCTATCGTAAACGTTTGCTGTTGTAAGTTTTTCAGAGTTATAATCATATTGAAGAAGCTATGAATCCGATATACGTCAAGTAATTGCAAAGTTAACTCCGCGAGTGTCTTTCGATAAGAATAAAACGGTGTTTTGGTAGAGATTTTTTCGGCGATGAGTCGGCACTGCCTTAAACAGCTTACGCGTGTGTATATGTGTGTTGAGTACGCATGTATATGTGCACGGCCCACGATAGTATACGGAAAACATATGATGATGGAGGAACCATAGTCAGCTACCAACACTACTCGTTGAAAAAAAAAATGGCTCTGTTTTCTATCGCTGCACTAACTTGCACTGGTTCTCTTGTTCTCCCTTTTATGGGAATTTGGTGGAAAAGAGAGGAAAAGAGTACCAGTGCAGCAATAGAAAACAGATCTCACAGCAGTCGGCTGTACCTATTGGCCGTGGTATAGAGAAATCTAGGTTGTCCCTGGATATTTTTTGTTCGTAAGATGTCATGCAATAACAGTCGTTACACCCGATATTCAACAGGAAAATTTTAAAGCCCCGTTCTCATATTCTTCTCACGATCTTTATAGATGCGTTGCTGAACGATAAGCGAGACAGAATATATCGCACCAGCTATAAAGAACAGACCAATTGGATCGGGACATTTGTTTTTTTTCTCACATGTGTTTGATTTTCGTGCTGTTACTTGGTCCGTGTTGCGCGACACTGGAGAAATGTGACGCATAGCGAAGCGGTGAGCATACATCGCCGCGATATGGACCACAAAAGATTACTCGAGGAACGTTTGCGAGAAGCGGTTTGCGAAGGCGATACGGACGCCGTGCAGGATCTCGTGAACATAGGCGTTGACGTTAACGCGCGACAAGCTGTCAGCGGATGGTAATTCAATATTATGTTTCATGTATTTTTGGGAGGAATCACGCTTCAATGGTGCGCGAATATTGATTCATTTGCTGAGACACTTCACTCGTTCTTCATTAATTCATGTTTCTCAAGGACTCCTTTACATTGGGCGTGTAAGAAGGGATATTTGGATGTAGCTGCCTTATTGTTGAAAAACGGTGCCGACAAGAACGTGCGAACCGAGGCAGGAGAGACTGCAGTATCTTTGTGCAATAACCAGCAGATTTTGTATCTTTTGAGCACAAGCAGTGATGTTACACGAGTCACAAATGATTTGTCCTTGCACACCGTTACGTCTGCATACACACAACCAGACAACTTTCTATATGCTGCCATGAATCCTTCCAAGGTGAAAAATAATACATACGACGAGAGTGGGGTCATCATGTTGTCCCATGATGGTACGATATAAATTTATATTGATTCAGAAAGATTTGAACATGAAATCAATGTAGGAAGAAAAAGGGAATAAAGTTAATTTTGACTCATAAAAGAAATCCAGAAAAAAATTAGAATTTGCATATTTAATAATTCTGAGTTTGCAAACACTTGTATTAACTTGGTTTTTGTATTACTAAAGTTCTCTATATAATAGAAACGTCAACGTTCTGCTACAATTTGGATTAATTTGCAATTTCTTTGTTTTTTGATGGATTACTTGAAGATTAATTTTGGGTCTTACTTTCTTCCTTTCTACATTGATGATATAAATTAATATTCTTTCGAACATTTAATTAATTATCTAAAATCAAACTGCCCATAGATAAAATCGACTATAAATTGCGACTGTCTGGTGAATATTATTATAACGCGTCGCTTTGATTTCAGAATTGGTGTTAAAAATTCGAATTGCTAGCACAGCAGATCCGGATTTCGTGGAGATAGAATTGCCGCGGAGCGAGTTAACTTACCAGGCATTGTTGGGTATATGTTGCAAAGAACTGAATCTCACTCCACACCAGATCTTGAAACTGCGCAAATTGCCCAATACTAGATTACGGAAGGATAAGGATATTCAGAGACTCCAGAACTTTCAAGAGATTGAAGTAATCACGACAAGTTTCACTGACACGATAAATATTTATGCAAGCCTTCAAGGCGCCAATGGTATCTCCAATAATCTGCCAACATTAACACCGGCTAATGGATATCAGAGCATATCCAAGAAGGATCAGACTATTCTGTATTGATTGTTTACGTTGAAAAAAATACTCTTGGATGTATTTGCAAGTTAACATGTAAGAAAGAAGCCACCATATAAGCAATATTACATCGTTTATGGTACATATACATGAACGTACCATTTAATAGAAATATCGTGTTTTTGTTTTTATTAGATTCAAATTAAAATGTCAGCAAGATATTCACATAAAAATATCACTTTAGATTTTTGCGTGAGATTTTCTCTGTGTGTGATTCTCTCGACAATAATGTCGCCATCGGGTTTGATCGTAATATTGATTTCTCTCATGAACGTTGAGAGCTCTCTCTTACTCTCTATGTCATAGTAAGCATTCTTGCATTACTGGTGGTTTCACATTTTTATCTTTTAAAATAAGCAAGTTTACGTTTAAAGAGGCGATTTGAATTGTTTAATAAATCGACTAATTCAATTTCTGATCATAAATTACTTACTAGTGTCATATAAAGCGGCAATCTTAAAATATTAGGTTGGAAACTATGAAACGGGCGTTGAATAGAAATAAAAAT